CCTCCATGTGCTTGCTTTGGGAGTTCCTCATAGCTAAATCTTCTATACACAACCTCCAGGAACTTATACACACATGCACATGTGTGTAAACAGATCCAGGCAACTAAGCTTAGAATTATAAAAAGTAAATATAAAGACTGATCTCTACAACGATAAATCATTTTGGGTTATTACAAGGTTATCTGATGAAGCAGTCAGTGTTTGTCAACATTTTTCTCTTTTGACATAATGAAAATCCTCAACTGAAAGTGATGATGTCATTATTTTTTCCAGAAGTACATAAATGACGGCAAGTGTTTGTCATCTACCTATTTTGTCCACCCTCCTGTAGTATAAAGCAAGAACGTTTGCTTCCCAGGGTCTAATCTGGCTCAGAAGAAATTGATGGAATAAGGCAGAGAAGGGGCCAGATGTGGATGTATTGCACAGCAGCTCTTGATAGTTTAATATTCAGGGTTAAGTCAGAAGCTAAGAATTTATAGGGAAATTGTGACACTCAGCTATATTACATTTCTAAGCTTTCAAGTGACACAATAACATTCAGTATTTCTGGTTCTAGCAATGCCTAAAATTAGTTCTTGCATATGTAACTAGAAAAAGGGTAATTTTCATTTCTAAGTAGCTAAAGCATCTCTTTAGATATATTGAATATATTATCAGATATACCAGGTATAAGATACACAAAAATTTATTAAGGCCTATGTCTGAATGTTGTGCATTCTGAGAATTCAGGAACAAATTTTAAGGGATAACTGAAAAAAAAAAAATTGCATCTCATTTCAAGGAAACAGATAATATTAGGTAAAATGCTTAAGACTGTCAAGGATGAATGAAAAATGCACGTACCAAACGACTATGCATATAATTGATGACAGCTTCCACATATGTATACTTCTTATAGACATGTATAGCTGCTTAAGTGTACCTGCTTAATGCAAACACTGGAATACAATCTGTTTCTGTTTTGCATTGCTTTCCTATACGTGCATCAGAATGAGTCTTGTAAAGGTAAGATCAACTCTGACAAATTGAAGCGACAAATGGTTTAACTCTTTGAGAGACAGAGATGAAAATATTTGTCTTTTAGAATTTGAAAAGAATGTGGACATACAGTAGAATATTTGGAAATATTTCCAGGAATGAAAGCCTAGAAGATAGATTGATATTTTGTTTTTTTGTTTTTTTCCTGATTTCCCTTTTAGATAATCAAATCCTTATTTTAATTAACTTGTTGATATAAATACAGCAGGATTGTTGTATTTTTTAAATAACTCTTTACTGAATATGCCAACAAGATAATATATAGTGTATAGTGAGGTTTTGAAGTTAACAATGCGTGCAACATGGCAGATTGCAGAAAACAGATAACGCAGACTTCAAACCATCTATTTTTCCATGTTAAAGATATAAAATATATCAAACACAGAACAGAATCAAGTGCGCATATCTCAGTTAAATTCAATTTTATGAAAGATCATCTTCAGGTATTTGGGACCAAGTGAAGATAACATTTTTTTTAGAAGCTTATCTGCATCAGAATTCAGCTCTCATGAGGCACATATCCACAGAGCCCCAGTATAATATAATAAAATCTTGCCAAATCTCTTTTGTAATAGTTTTCCAGATGGACCACTAGCCAGCATCCTTTTAAAGAGCAAGACATTGTTTGCTGTACAAGAGTTTAATGCCAAATGCTTCAATATTGCCTGTAGTATCATTGCGATACAACATGTCCTGCTCAACAGAGTTCAGGGGAGGACTGGTCATCAGCTTCCTAGCATTACCTCTGTGTTTAGAAGAGATCATCAGGCAAGATTTGATGAGGCTCAGAGCCAGTAAATTTTGGTTTTGGCACTCATTTCTATTTTGTTTTTCCACTGAGCTGGAAAGATAAGTCATAAGTAAAAGCATCATTCTCATGTTCTAAAGAAAAAACTTTAATATCTCCATGTTAAATTTAAGGTGAAGGAGTACTATAAATGGAGAACTCAATGGGAATTAACCACTTCACTGTCAAAAGCTGAGACTGAACTTTCACTTCAATATAGTTAATAAAGTGCCTTTAAATCCATAACACCACCAAAATATGCATAAAGTTATTTTGTTTGCAAAATTAAAATCAATGCATTTCTCAGAGGGAGAAATTTTCTCTCATGGAAAGGGAAAATGATTGACAGAAAAATACAGTTGAGCTATTCTAGTAGCAAACAGTATATAAAACAGCTACTTCATTTTTCTGTTTTACTTGACATTCATCATAGTCCTTTATTGGCTTACAGGGAAAACTGCTAATAACTTTTCTGCCCAAATTAACCCAATCACTAAATATTCTTATGAGTAAATTCAATAATAATGTCTCCAATAAGAATGTGTCACCACAAAGTCCATGCATTTATCAGGTGTCCATTTCTGCCAGCAAAGCTACATGCAAGGAATACTTGTTACAGTGACAGAGCCTGTGAAAACGGGGACCTGTTTGCAAGTAAGTCTTCAGAAGGAACCCAAGGACTCAGCAAAGCAGTATCACAACATATTAGTTGTAATACTGCTTTAACATAATTTCACTTAAACTTTTAGTTTATTCCACTCACCAATCCTTTCTGTACATTTATGCCAGCTATTAACAGTATACAACAGAAGACGGGTGAGACTGTAAACCATTCATTTTCCTCCATAGCCAATGAACCTATTCAATTCAGGACCTGGAAATTAACAATTTGGGTAAATTGTATAACCACTTATTTGTGACTTCTACTCTATAGCCTTTAGTTAGTATCTGTGGTCAGACATTGGCATCAAGGGAAAATGATCCTAGTTTTATGAAGCCTAAGCAAAAACCTACTATTCTTAAACTTTTTATCACCAAAAGGTCATTGCCCATTTTTAATTGACTTGTTCCAAACACCTTACCCAGTGAAAATTGCCCATTATGTGTTCATCTAGTTGTGAGCTGAAATGAAGTCTCAGCTGTTTGTGTGGCTGACACTTTGAAAAGTCCTGGACTCTACTGCAGGTTGAAATACACTAACCATTTCACAGGTGGATAGCAATTAGAACTGGGAGAAACATTCTTCAAATGAAACATATGACCCTTCAGTTGACTATAGATGTGAATTTTTTAGATAACAGTTCCAGCTCTAAACATGAATTTTGGCATAAGTGGTTTGCTACTTTTTTTTAAAGGAGTATTTATAGAAAAGACTATCCCATGCCAATATATATATATATTTCTTAACACTGAAAAAAGCATAAACTATGCTACCTTTAATTTTATTTTGATTTTTGATCTAAGTGAGTAATAGTCCACAGAGAGATATGTATGTTTCACCATCTGAGATCAAAAAGAACAGTTTCTGGAAGCCATCTGTTTTCACCCTGTTAGGACAGGAACCACATTTGTCATCAGTTTGGGCTTGTGGATCATTCACCTGCAGTATTGCTGAACTCCCTGAATAAATCATTTGCTACAACTAAGGCGCCTAGCTCATTTTGAAACTATGGTATCCTGAGGACTAGAACAAAAGATGTTCATCAAGGAGGACAAAGATTCCTCCAGCACTAGTCACTGAAGTATGAAATTCTAGTAAGTGCATACTTTCAAAGGATGCCTTTTGAAATCAAACATACAGATAGTTATTTCAGTGAAACTAAATACTACATCCACACAAAATGAGAATCTCTGGCTCTATTTAATTTCAAACAAACTGAAGCATGCAATGGAAGCGTGCATAAGCACAACTATTTGCTGCTTGTCTTGTGGGCTTTGGCACCTAAAGCATATTAAACAAACAAAACAAAAGTATCAACCTTTTCACCACAATCTTCAGTAAATAGGTCACAGAAAAAAATGCTTTGCATAGACATTTCTACCTAGAATTATCCCATTTGGAATCATACGGCAGCCTTTCATTTAGCAAATTTTCAGTGACTTTACTATTACAGTAGCCATACAGGTTTCCTAAAATACCTGTAATAGCTGGAAAAAATAGCAAATATACAGAATATAGAGTGGAATTTCAAAATGTGATTATAAAAGGTTTTGGGGGAAGGATGCTGCTTCTTACACAATGATTGTACTTTGCCATCAATCATAACTGGATTCATTTTGCCATTGCAGAAAATGAGTATTGTCATAGAAACTGCACACTCATAGACTGCTGGGCTTCAAGAATGGGTTGAGAGAAAGGAGCAAAGGAAAGGATTAAAACCCTCTCTCTCAACATAAGCAGCCTCATAAAGCGAAATGTCTACACATTTCACAGTGAAAGTGCTTCAGCCTTTACTTCCAATCCACTTCTAACAATTTCTCTTTGTCCCTAGTTGGTCACTGTAAAAAGTCTTCTCTTTGGTTCCTTCAGGAAAGTTTTCTCTCTTTTCTCTTTGTTGTGAACTTTTGCTTGTCCACGAGCAAAAAAGTGAGCTGCATTAAAAAAACAAACTGAAAGAAATAAAGAATTAGATTTCACCAAGCTGAGCTGGCAAGAAAAAGAGAGTTCTTGGCAGTCACAGAGTCAATGGAGCGGCTGGAACATTATATAATTTTGAGCACAGCAGCATGGTTTTAATACAAGCATGATGTTTCGCATAGTGCGTGAAAAGCTCAAAGGCTCAGAAGGTATTCCAGCCAAAGAATTTGAGCGAACAAAAAAACAAATTCTAAGCCCACCTACTGCTTATAAAGCACAGATCATTGTGGAAAACTTGCAAAAGCTGAAGATAAAAGAAAGGAAATTCAGAGGGACAGTGTGTACTTGTGTTCTCAAAATTCCTCAGCTAATCGAATACTTCCTTAATGTTTGTCTCTATACCCCTCTGAATAAGGGAGGAAAAAACCTCAAACAAACAAATAGAATTTACTCATTATTTTCCCTGCTGAACATATTTCAGTTCATAACAGGCTTGGAGGCCTCTCCAATAATAAATATTTTTTAAAAGATCTTTCTTTTTTGTCTGTTTGTCCACTGTTTGATTTTGGCTTTTTTCCCTACTTCTCTATACTGAACTCCAATCCCTACATCAAATAAGGCTTGAACCATAAAAGTCAATAGAAACCTTTCCATTGGCATCATTTTTTGCACTATGTTTTCAGCAATTTACACTTTTAGATTCCAAACTCTACATGAATACTGCAGAGCTGGGAGCACACAGAATTTCACGCATTCAGGCTTTACCTGGACATGCTGTGTCAACAAATGCTGCTGTATTAAAGAGAGGTGCAACTTAATGACAGCTATCTGATACATACTGATAACCTTCATCTCCCACTGAGAAGGGTCAGAGAATGCCTAAAGCTTCTTAATCATAATGAAAAGCAGGAACAGTTTCTATCTTAAAGGTATATAGTGTTGAGGAAGATTTTCAGAGTAGCTTTTGCAAATAGGAATCAAGGTCACTTTGACACTGAGCTCTACATACCCTTCCTATTCCAAGTATATTGGGGAAAAAATAATCAAACAAAAACATAACCTTTTTGGTAGCACTCAGAACTCCAGTTTTCTGTTGGAGGTAGGAAATGCACAACTGACAAAAAGGGGAACAGTATTTCCAATTGTTTGATGCTGAACAGTAACTGCTGGGTTCAAGTCAGAAGGATTGCACCCATTTTATCTGAATTGCTTCTTTCTGTTCCTAGCGTGACCCTGTTTTAATATGCACTTATTTTCCTGTACCACAGGACACCTAGAAACTTAACATCCTTCAGACAGCTTCGACAGCAAAGTGGTTAATGTTTGAAGAATGAGTCATTCTTTCCTTTGCCATGACACTGGGTTCTTATTGTACAACCCTGTACAGTACTTAGCAATATTTTTTAAAGATTTAAAAAGCAAAGAGTTACAAAACCATTTGCAATTAACTTGAAATAGAAAAGATAGCACTTTTTTTTTAAATCCCATTATATAGTACACCGTATAAATTACAGAGTATTCAAATGCACAAATGCATCTTTGTAACATTTATCAAATGTAATTTTCTCATTGTTGTTTGGGGTGTTATTTTTCCCAGAGTTTTTTCTCTTTGTCCTAGACACCCCCATCTCCCTTCACTATCACGTATGACAGTGCTCCAGGTCTGAGACATTGCTGTTGCAGTATCGCATATTGTTGGGGATGTGGCAGTCTGTGTAGTTAATTCCCCCGTTTGGGGTATAAATGGGCTGCAGTCTGAAATCTCCTTTAAGGAGCTGATCATTATTTAAGGAGACAATCTGGAAGCTGGTTTCCGTCATCTCCAGGATGGAGTTGTCCTTCTTGGTCCCTGCCTCGCAGTAGTCATCTTTCCGACGGCCCCGGTTATATTTCCACTTCTGGGAGGTGTAACGCCCTTTTTTGTGCATGTGCCAGCAAAAAATGCTGAGCAGGACCACGAGGACAAATATCACTGCACCCCCAATCAACCCTGCCAGCAGAAATGGGGAGCCCAGGTTCTGAGAAGTTGTCTGCTCATGGCTAGAGGGGATGTTGCTGCCATTGCTCAAAAAGGAAGCCTTGGTTGTGGCTTCTGAACAGACAGTGTCTTCTCCAGTTTGGTAATTGTTATAAGTATCCAGTGGAACCAAACAAATCCGATAGGTGGATTTGGGCTCCAGATTTACCAAACTTAAGTGTTGTTTCTCACCACTAACTATACGTTCCTGAACAATTCCTCCTACCAGACTATGGCCCATTTTAACCCACGTGAGTTTATATGCCATTACAGTAAAAAGAGACATCCAGTTAACTTGGATGCAAGTATCATTCACAAAATGGATGGAGAGTTGAATCCTTTCAGATATAGGAGGTGTCACCCTTTCTCTGTTCTCCCTGTCAGGCACAGTGGGGAGCGTGGCTATGGTGGGAGTGAGCGGATTGTATTTGCTACCTGGGGGAGGAAACGATGAGGTGGGAGCTAATGTAGTCGACATGGCTGTAGCTGGGACTGAGGTGATGATAAGTGGCAGACCAGGGGTGGTGGTGGGGCATGACAGCATATTCATATTGAGCTCCCTGACTGCCATACCTCGGACCTGCTCTGGTCCCTGGCACATAAAGCCCCGTACATTGATGGAAGAAGGAATAAATTTGAGCCATTCAGTGACCCACTTAATACTGCAGTCACACAACCAGGGATTATTCCTTACAGTGAGTTGCCTCAGACTGTGGAGATTATCAAATACCCCCTTTACCAACATCCGAAGTTGATTGTTGGAAATATCAAGACGTTCCAGCTTGTGGAGGTTTGAAAAGGCTGTAAGTGGTATATGGGTTATCTGGTTGTCCTGCAAGTAGAGCCTTAGCAGATGTGTACCTGGAAGATCGGGAGGAGGATAGGTCAGTGAATTCCGCACTATTGAGAATTCCTTGAGCTTGGAGAGGTGGCTGAAGGTACCTTCAGCTATGCCTTTATTAGTAAGAAGATTGCCATCTACTATCAGACGCTCCAGACTTGTAAGATTCTGGAAGGCCAGGTCTGAAATGACAGCAATTCGGTTTTCATCTACTCGAAGTTCTTGTAAGTCCACTGGAAGGCCTACTGGTACACTGCTTAAGTGATTCTTGGACAAGAAGAGAAGCTTGAGGCTGATGGCTTCCTGGAATGCTCCATCCTCAACACCAACAGTGGAGATGGAGTTGTCATCCAGGTGCAGTTCTTCCAGCTTCAAAAGCTGAGCAAGGGCAGCCCGAGAAATGGTCTGAATGTTGTTTTCCTGCAGGTGGAGAACCCTGACATTCTTGGGCAGGTTCATGGGGAATTCATCCAATTGGTTGCCATACAGGTAGACTGTGTGCACAGACTGGACATTGTGCAACTCTGCAGGAAATCCAGCATTATTAATTTGGTTATTATGGAGGTAGAGGACGGTTACACCCTCTGGTATCCCGAGAGGCACTGAGGTCAAGCTTCGCTCATTACAGTAGACAAAGTTTCGATCACAGCGGCACACTTTTGGGCAGGCCAAAGTTTCGGAGACCTGCATGTACAGCCCCAGGGAAAAGATAAGCCATGATTTCATTACAACAGCCCAATCTGTGGGCCACATTCTAGTCCACAAACCCATTTCTAATTTAAAGAAATAAAGTACCAAAGTGTTAAAGAACTGATAACAATAATGAAGCACACGTAGCAAAATCTCAGGTCATTAAAATTGGCTTCTATTCATGTCCGGTGTTCAGGCCAGAGTTAAAGTCTTGGAGGCTAAGTATAAAATGCTCCCTTTATAATTGGTCTACCTCCTACTTTTGATAAGAAAGCCGCAGTCTTATTTGCCAGGGTTACAAAGTTTGTTTTCCTCCATGTGTGCTGAAACAAACAATAGCTGTGTCTTTGTGGATGAGCAACAGACTAATTTAAAGCTACCAAGTCTTCTGTGTATGAGTTGCTTGGAGGGGTATTTCCTTTCAGTGAAGTCTGTTGGTGTTACACTCAGCCTTCTGAAGTCAGAAGAGTCTTCATATCAGCTATCTGCCAGATCTGGCCAGCCTGTAAAAGAAAAAAAAAGGAAAGAAAAAGCTAAATAACATGAAATGTTTAATAGGGAAGATCAAGCACATTGGAAGACTGTTCTAAGGCTGTGTTTATTGTGTCTTTCTGGAAAAAAAACAAACACAAAATATTAATGTTAAACATTAGCTTAACATTACTGTTAAATAGTCTTGAAATATATTTGAAATATATCTGATGTAAAGTCACTGCAGTGATTGAAGGACTTTCATTGACTTCAGTGAAGGCTAGATCTATCACTTGTGTTTGCATATTGTATCTCCAGTCTTTGTTCTTGCACAATCTATCTGTTTTAAATCCTAAAACTAAAATATTTTAAAAAATTAAACCATTTGACTGGGAATTTTTGTTTGTTTTCTTTTGCAGAATCACTGACTTCAGTTAATGCTATTCACTGATGCCTGACAGAGTAGACTCTGGACTGTATTATTTAATCATACTCTATGTTGTTTTTTTTCATTTCCTACCAGATTCTGGAATGTTCTTCATCTGTTACTGTGATGCCATTTTCTATATTCTCTATATTAATGCACACTGCCAGATTATTGCGCCTCACTACAGTGAATTAGGTTCTTACAAGGAGAGTCTTTTAAGTAAGTACAGTAATCCACAAATACAAGATACATTGATGTAAGACATGCATTCGCTAAAACAATTATCTTGATATTGTTCCTGATGTGAACTGTGCTGTCAACAGACTTCAGTATTAGCTTTGCACTAAACAAAACAGGCCTGCAACTGTTAAGTTACTGGTTTAGGATACCCACTCAAACTACAGCAGTTTTGCAGGAGAGCACTTTTTTCAAGCTGCCAAGGTTAAATGCTTCTTTTAGTTCTGCTACACAGCCGTCTGTGAATGGCTACATAAGCAAATTTGTACAGATGATTTCTTTAACATATATTTTCAGCTAAATGCATTTTTTATGTTCCCAGCTACTATTTATTATTCAGATCTATAACCAAAGACATCCACTCTCTAAAGCATGCAATGAATGGTGCTGTATTGTATGATGCTATCTTGTTATATGTGTTGTTTCCAGAGACTGAAAAAAAGTGTTGCATTTTACATGCTTGAACCTAATGAAGGATATAAACCTTGACAAGTACCAAGCATTTGTAGATCACAGCATCATAGAATGGTTAGGTTTGGAGAAGACCATAAGATCATCTAGGTCCAAACCGTTGCTATGGACAGAGACATCTCACACTAGACCATGTCGCTCAAGGCCTTGTCCAAACCCTGCCAGGAATGGAGCATTCACAACTTCCTTGAGCAGCCCATTCCACTGCCTCACTGCCTCACAACCCTCACAGTAAATAAAATTTTCCCTATATCTAATTTAAATCTCCTCCATTTAAGATCTCAGGGTCTTGAATTGCAGTTACATAAGCATAGTGCTTTTCCAGATTTTGTTTACCCAGATCAAATCTCATTAGCTGGGATTTCAGGAAAATGGAATTTCAGTGAACAGAAATCATGTTTACAAATATTTTTACTTTATTTAAGCAGTTTAAGCACTCTTCATGTAATTTAGAAAGAAATGTAGTTCAGAAGTACATGAAAGTTTGTTCTTCTGCTACAGCTGTACAGTTTATAGCATGTCTCAGACACTGCTTTTCAGAATCTCACGGACTGACAGGTTCTAAGTCTCAACTGTTATAACCCTGCAATCTTGCACTTGCAGATTAGTATTATTATTTGAAGCATCATCAGGGTTCAGCCTCAGGGCTAGAACAGTTGGAGGTAAGAAGTGAGACCCTGAAAAATCCTGTATCTTATCACTATGAATTAAAATGGTAAATGCACGCATACCATAATGCAGGCTATACTGTGTATTGTCCTTTTCTAGAAACAGTAAGATTAGCTACCACACTGTTCAAGGTTTTCTCTCTCACACATTTAAGAGTAATTTCTTTTCAATTATGTAAGATGACGTGATACTGTAGAGAAACTCTTAACAGGATTACAGTGTAACATGAGCCTAAGTGTGACAATTTATCTGCCTTTAATATGGCCTGGCTCCCATCTAGATCATACTGCTCTGATCTGTCATGACACTGTCTTTTTAAAATGAGAAAGGACATGCAGAGCCTCCTCCGAGATGCTTAGGACCACACAGAGTAACAATAGTGGTTCTCTCACTCTCTTGCATCATCAGAGAGAGACAGCCCCTAATAGGGCCAATACCCTGCACTGAGCTCTATTTTGACTGTAAGTCTGATTGATGATTAGGTTTTATTTGACTCCCGGGTATGACAGAAAGCCCAGCTGAGGATGTGCAGCTGCAGGCAGCTGCTGCTTCTGGTTTGCTGGAAATCTTCTGTGAAGGAAATGTAATATTAAAACTGATTTATGCATTCACCTTATTCTAGATTTCTGGCCAGACTACCTCTCACCTAGGTAGATATTACATCTGAATAAAAGATTTCAGTAATGATTCTAGCACACTGGGTCAAACACACAGCTGTAAAAGAGCTTTGACTGGATAGTCACTTAAGCATATTAGCACTTTGGAAGCTGGCACTCTAGTTTATATCTTTTTTCTTATTACATGCATTTGCCCTTAGAAATCTGTTAGAACTTTCCTACAGTTTTCTGCCCTCACGATGGTGAGAAAGGGAGTCCTTTTATTAATGTTAGTATCCTAATCTCCAACTATCAGCCCCTAATAAACAGGTACTATAAAACTCAGAAAATATGCATTGGTATATACTGTTGATTGTATTAATAAGCAAGAGCAGAAGGACAACTCTAATTGGATATTTATGGCTTCAGGGTTGAATGCAGTGTGCCAGAGGGAAAGAATGAGGAGACTGAGGGGTGACCTCATCAATGTTTGCAAATACGTAAAGGGTGAGTGTCAGGATGATGGAGCTAGTTTTTTTTCAGTGATATCCAGTGATAGGACAAGGGGCAATGGGTGTAAACTGGAGCATAGGAGGTTCCATGTGAGCATCAGGAAAAACTTCTTTACTGTGAGAGTGACAGAGCACTGGAACAGGTTGCCCAGGGGGGTTGTGGAGTCTCCTACGTTGGAGATATTCAAGGCCCACCTGGACAAATTCCTGTGTGATGTACTCTAGGTTACCCTGCTCTTGAAGGGGGGTTGGACCAGATGATCTTTTGAGGTCCCTTCCAACCCTTGGAATTCTGTGATTCCGTGAAACAAGGATACAACTGAATGCGTTTTATTTTTTTTTTGGGGGGGGGGGAAGCTTTACCTATGTAGTCTTTTACAGCTGTTTAATAATAATTCATAGTGGTGGTCACATTTGAAGTATTTTTCAGCAAATCTCAGGGGCCCTAATGCAAAAGTGAATTATGTTCCTGTGTTACAAATATCTCCCTCAAACACATCAAAAAGATTGAAGAACTGAACACACTGCTTGATTTAAAGATAAACTCTGTGAAGAAAAGCATCTTATGCAAATTCGAGAAGGCTGGAAAAGCTGAAACACTTTGTTCTTCAGCAAACTGCCAAAACTGGAGGCAAGTAGAGTAAATGAGCTTTCCTCCCACCCCTGACATGCTGGCTCCATCAAGCAAGCTCTCTGCTTTCAATATCCTTACAAGAAATGAACTGAGTGTCTCTGCAAATGAACTGATCATTTGCAGAGACAGAATTCTGGAAGTGGAGGAATTAAGGGCACTTCTTAGCTTTCATGACTTTAAGCCTTACAAGTTGACTCATAAATAGTAGATGGCAGTGACTTTGCTTATTGTGAAGCTGGAAAATTTAAAAAACCAATCTAGGAAGAGCGGATGAGGGTAAGGGAATCTGTCACTATTAACTTTAAGAAATCAGTTGGCAAATGCCTCAATAATAACACATCTGCCCACCTATTATCACCTTCATTTTTTTTGTTTTTATTTCCTTACGTGTATACTTGATTTTTATTATTTCTCCCTATATACTCCTTGGAGCATAAGCCACATCTTCCAAGTGTCTAGGACATTTCCTGTCTTACTACAGCCAAGATATTAAATCCCATTTGGATTTAAGGAATGATATAACTGTTGAGAAAAGCACATTGAAATGATGAGAACATATGCACATGTTTTAGGTGGCCGTGTCTGAAACTTTCGCTTAGTGGTCTGAGTTCCTGACATCAATGGAAACGTACCCTTTCATATCTTAAGAGTAGTTTCTGATCAACATTTTTATCTCACTGTCTTTTTTCAAAACTGCCTTATTTAAGTTCCCTTTTGGCATGATTAACGCTAGGTGGAGAAGAACAATTCTGTCTTTGTGTACTTGATAACGATTTCAAATTTGTTTTTGTTCAACACTGGAACTGAAGAGCTCCTTTAGGAGATTTTGATTAAAGGTATTCAAAGGCTGAAACATCTGGCTGCAAGCTGTGAAGGTGGAGGTTTTATTAGTCTCCCCATCACTGGTCAGAATCATCCACACAACTTCACACTTTAGTCACCTTGCTGTGCACAGACATGAAATAATTTAGCTTTAATAAACATTTTTCAATAATTAATATATTACTGAAAATGCTACTCAATCATAAATTTGTGGTAGCTAGTTAAAAAACTCCAACAACCACTAGCACCCTGCTTACGGAACTCTTTCCTATCTCATGACCAGTATTGCCTCAGTGGCTGTGCCTGTGGTGTCTAAAGCAGCTTCCAAAGCTGCACACATGGCCATCCTCCCCACTTTTCATGCTGCAGTCTTCCAAACATGCAGTGCCAGGTGTATCAGTCAAGGTCCCTGTGGCAGCCTGAGAACACAATATTCAGGGGAGATAACAGAGAATAAAGAGAGAAGCTACCACATGGAGGACATACCACATGCTATTATAACACAGGAGTTCTGTTATGCTCCTCAAGCCAGGTTGCCTGTCTTCATTACTATTCCC